TGCATTTGCCACTGCCTGGAAAGGTAAAAAGGTATTGGAACATCACTGTAGAGGCAAGATAGAACAGTACACCACTTACAGCTCTGTGTCCTTAGATAAACTACGTAACCTCTCTGGGTTCCATATCTGTCAAACTTGAATTACGCTAGACCTAATCCATGTGGCGATTACAACGATTAGAGGTTGTCATGTGTGGCTCTTGGTAAGTGCTAGGTAAACAAAGCCATTCCTGCTTAGTGCTGTCACCGTGCCACCATCTGGCCTCTGTGATGCTGAGCTGCTCCGCTACCCTGGGCCTTCCTCATAGAGCCTTTTAGTCATGCAGTCTTGGTGAGCACGGCTTGTTAGCTAATTTCAAAGCTCATTCTCTTTGGCTCATTTACCAAAAGCAGGCAGAGATTAATGGCCTTACCTCTGAGGATCGGGCAGGCACATGTTTCTGGTGCCTTGGCTCGTTGGCCATGCTTCTGCAGTTCAGGGAACGTTTGGGTGGCCCAGGAAGAGGTCTCCCGAGACCCAGGAAACCTTGAAGGAAAGTAGTTGGGTGTAAACTCACCTCCTAATTAAGGAGGGCCAGGAGCCCTACATTTTACTATTTCTTCTGGGTTTTGCCATTTATAAACAGAAGCAAGTTTCTCTTGGATAGAATGTTTGAATTTAATGGGAGAAATGGAGTGATCAAGGGTGGCTGAAAAAAATAATTGCCAAAATATGATCTTTTCATTTGTACTTCCCTTATCAAGCTTCCCAGGGTTGGTGAAGTCACCTTGGATTGCTGGTCCCAGCCATCACAGGGCTGTCCACGTCACTCACAGGCCACAAGGCCCTGCAGGGTCACTCGCTCCCCCCCCCATCTTCATTTTCTGCCCTTCTCCATCCCTATCCTGCACCGATCGCCAACCACGCTGGCCTCTTTCCTCAGAAAGCCATGCTTTCCCCATCGCTCGGACCTGCATTTTTTTGTTGGCACCGACGCCCAGGTCTTCCCAAGAAGTTCCTCTCTCATCATTCAGGTCTCCTGCAAATGTCACCTCTGCAGAGATGCTTTTCCCCGCCTCACGTCCTCAATACTCTCTCTCTCTCTCTCTCTCTTTTTTTTTTTTAAACTTTCTCTATTGGACTTACCAATATTTGAAGCAACCACATTGGTGCATCTGCTTATGTCTGTTTTCTCCACTGATGGGAAAGGTCCACGAGAGCAGAGATCGTAGTTGACTAGCTCATCTGTATTCTCAGCACCTAGAACACTGCCCGGTTATTGTAGGCACTCAGTAAATATGTGCCAGATGTGTGAATGAATAAACAAATGAATGAGAGTTGCACACAACTTTGGAAATTACCCATTCAAGAAGTCTTCAGGCAGGGCGTGGTGGCTCACTCCTGTAATCTTAGCACTCTGGGAGGCCAAGGCGGGAGGATCGCTCAAGGTCAGGAGTTTGAGACCAGCCTGAGCAAGAGCGAGACCCCATCTCTACTAAAAATAGAAAGAAATTAATTGGCCAATAAAAATATCTAGAAAAAATTAGCCGGGCATGGTGGCGCATGCCAGTAGTCCCAGCTACTCGGGAGGCTGAGGCAGTGGGATCTCTTGAGCCCAGGAGTTTGAGGTTGCTGTGAGCTAGGCTGATGCCAGGGGACTCTAGCCAGGGCAACAGAGTGAGACTCTGTCTCAAAAGAATAGAAGGAGTCTTCAAACTTTTCAAAGCCAGTATCCCCTTGTTTGATAGCCACATAAGTAAAACCAGTGAGAACAAAGGGAAGGGGACATTTGGTCACCTGGGGTCTTAGCTTCTCTCTCAACTCTTTGGGCAGTCCTAGTTTGTACAGATGCTGTGGAGCTCAGTCTGAAAACCATGATCTAGTCCAAGTTCTTCTTTTATGTAGATGACGGAGATGCAGCTGAGGGAGAACAGGCAACTGTGTCCCCTCTGTCACAGGCAGAGATTAGCATAATCTCTGCGGCAGCCTCCAGCTAGACTGTGTGGTGATTTTTGTCTTTCCCCCCAAATTCTGAGAATATTAAGCGTTTCTTTTCCTGGTAGTGTAACCCAAAGCACTTGCTTTTGTGTTGTGCTGTTTCGGTATGTTTCTTCTTCACCATCTCATTCGATGCTCACAGCAGCCCTGGAAGAGGTAGGCAGAGTAGCTTTCCTCACCGTCATTTTATAGACGAAGAAGCTAAAGTTCAGCAAGATGAAGTTATCAATGGTGAAACGCCAGCCAGAATCAAAATCTCTTGACTCCTAACCATTAGAACTTTTAAGTGTATGCACCGACGTCTTTTCATTCATCAGACAATCCTCGTTAAGTGCAGAAACCTGTTCCCTTTGTCCTCATCTCTCTAACCTTTAATAAGTGGCTGTGTAGCTTTAGTCTGCTCTAGAAAATTAATAATAAAATGGGATGATTTGTTATATTTAGAGTTTGATGAATCAAAGACCTTCTTGGGTGATTCCTTCAGTTTACAGATGAGGCAGTAGAGACCCAGAGAGGGTGAGAAACTTACCCAGGGACACAAAGAGTCAAGCGGGACCCATTGCCCAGCTCTCGACCAGCTATTCCCAGTCATATTTATTCACAGGTAAAAACTGTGGCTGTCTTTCATGGCTCTCTTTTCAGAGATGCTTGACTTAGTTCCTTTAGGGGTTCAATAAGTGGTTCTCAATTGAGAGTAGCCATTACCGTGTTTCCCTGAAAATAAGACAGGGTCTTATATTTATTTTTCCTCAAGAAGACACTCTAGGGCTTATTTTCAGGGGATGTGTTTTTTTTCTTTTTTTTTTTTTTTTTTTTGAGACAGAGTCTCGCTTTGTTGCCCAGGCTAGAGTGAGTGCCGTGGCGTCAGCCTAGCTCACAGCAACCTCAAACTCCTGGGCTCGAGTGATCCTTCTGCCTCAGCCTCCCAAGTAGCTGGGACTACAGGCATGTGCCACCATGCCCGGCTAATTTTTTATATATATATCAGTTGGCCAATTAATTTCTTTCTATTTATAGTAGAGACGGGGTCTCGCTCTTGCTCAGGCTGGTTTTGAACTCCTGACCTTGAGCAATCCGCCCGCCTCGGCCTCCCAAGAGCTAGGATTACAGGCGTGAGCCACAGCGCCCGGCCTGTTTTTTTTTTTTTTTTAAGTATGGTACAACAATCTACATTTATTCAAATATAGTTAAGTCGTCTTCTTCTGGAACATCATCATAACTCTCCTAACCCGAATTCCATCCTGAATTTCTTGCGACTCTTTTTCCTTTAGAACCATTGGCCCCAGTGTCTCATGTCAAGCACTGGAGCTCTCATGGGGCAGATGAGAAGGGCTGCTCGTCTTCTTTACCGCTCCGCGTCAAAATGCATGGGTTGTGCAGATGCGCTGCGTAGCCACGCCAATCACTAGGTCTTATTTTCGCGGGGTAGGGCTTCTATTGTACAAATGCTTAGAAATCCTGCTAGGGCTTATTTTATGGGTAGGTCTTATTTTCGGGGAAACACAGTAAAATCACTTGGGAGATACATATGTATTTTAAGCTATGATGATCAGCTTCATCCCTTTCTATACCTATAGAACCTTAACCACCAAAGAAGGGTTTGGGCAGGATGATTTTTTTTTTTTATTATTTTCTTAGGCAGAGGTTTCATCTTATTTTTAATAGTGACAGCATATCGGAGATGGGCAAACTGTGGTTCACAGACCACATGCAGCCTACTGTCGGCTGTTGCATAGCCTGTGAGTCACGCATTGCATTTACAGATGAACATTTGCGATTGATTTGATGATAGGGAATACTAACTTTGAACCCCATTTAAGCTAAATGTTATTGTTCTGAAAAAAAAATCCATTCTTCTGATTGGTAGACTTGTATTTAAAAAAATCATACACAATTATTTTGAATTTTGTCAAAAATTTTTTGGAAATTTGTTTTCTCACTTATTATATAAGTACTTATATGATGTCATTGATTTTTGTTTCTTGGCCCACGAAGCCTAAACCATTTACTGTCTGGCCCTTTATCGAAAAAGCTGTTGACTCTTGCAGTATGCCATTTTCTATTTTATACTGGGGCATTTTCCTTTTCTATGTTGGGGCACTTTATGTTTTTATGATTTATATAAATCATTTAATGGGCTTTTATTATAAATGTGATATATTGCCCTATAACATTAAAAAAGTAAAAAGTACATACTCCCATTCCTCAATGTTAGCAGTTAACAGTTTGTTCTGACTTTGCCACTAACTACCTGTGAGACATTAGTTAACCACTGTAAGCCTCAGATTCTCTATGTGTAAAACAGTGATATAGTGGGAGGCAGATGCAGGAGGATGGCTTCAGGTCAGGAGTTCAAGACCAGCCTGAGCAAGAACAAGACCTAATCTCTCTATAATACAAACAAACAAACAGAAAAAACACACACGCGCGCACACACACACACACACACACACAGAAAAACTAGCTGGGTGTGGTGCCACATGCCTGTAGTGCCAACTTCTCAGGAGGCTGAGGCAGGAGGATCGCTTGAGCCCAGGAGTTTGAGGTTGCAGTGACCTCTGATGATGCCGCTGCACTCTAGCCGACAAAGCAAGACTCTGTCTCCCCAAAAAGGATAATAACAGCTCTTACCCTACTGAATTGTGTAAATTATTTGAGATAATTCATGTAAATTGCTTAGTATGTTGCCTGGTACATAGTTAATGCTTAATGATTTGTAACTTATTTTTAAAATTGTCTCCTTTTTGTTTATGTACACATATAAGTTTATTTGCTTTTTTAAAAAGATGAAATACGATTTTTACACAATAAAGTTTCACAGAAGATTTGGTATACACATAAGAACAACTGAAGTCAATGCTGAGAAGTGGATAATTATTAGAGGGGTACATATTTGGGGGCCAGAAATTGCCTTCCATCTTATAGCACAAACTATGGAAAAGGGGGGAAGTACTGGTTTTCTGCAATAAACGTGTAGCGTGGTATAAAGTGCACACAAATAAATTTTTATTTCTATTTTCCAGGTCTACAACTCGAACAAAGACAGTCAGAGCGAAGGGAGTAAGTACCCTTGGGTGATTTTCTGCAGCTGGGGTTGGGTGTGGGCTTTGAGAAGTTGCTGCTCCCGGGATGCACCACCAGGAGGTGCTGTGGGCATGTTGGGTTGGCCCCATTTTCTGAGCGCAGTGTGAGATGCTTCTACCCCGACTCTCTACCAGAGACTCCAGAGGGGCCTTAAGGGCACCTGGCTGTCAGGGCTGTAATGACACCTTGCATTTAAATAACCCTTCACACTCTACACAGCATCCTCGCGTACATTATCTCACTGAATCCTAGGTCTTCTTAAGACTATAGCTCCGATCACCACGCAGAAGTCACTTAAGTACAGTGATGCCCAACTTCCCAAGAGCTTCATCCTGTGGGAGAGCCGGCATTGCCCTGGCCTCCTGGGCAGTGTCACTCAAAAAACTGGAGAGGCACTAACTGTCTTAGGTGTTTTCTTCCTAGCCTGTATGGGAGGAAAGAGTGGCGATGGGGAATTCGAGAATAGCATTCCGCTTTGATAGAAGCCCCCAGGAAGCCTCTGCAGGCTATATGGTACTTTTCCCCTGCTGCTGGCTCCGAGCACTCTGGTTAATCGTGATTTCCAAGGGCACCAGTAACCTTGTAAAGGCAAAAGGACTCAAATGAAACTGCTACTAGTCGAGTGTTTGGGCTGATTCCCTCCTTGCTGGCCAGGAGGGAAGACAAACTCTTTCCAGGTTGCTGCGAGAGTACAAAGGAAATCCTGCACCCTTGCCTCAGATTCGCTTTGTAAAATCCACTTGGAAGAAAGGATCCAAAAGTTAGCCCTACTGTGAATTCCGGTAGCGTTAGGAAAGTCAGTCGAACAGTGCCTTTTCATGTGGACAAAAGGGTAAGCTATTTTTTGGTGAAAGTTATTCTAGCACAGAGTTTTTTTTTCCCTCCTTTCCTTCCCTTTAAAATACAAATTCTACTAGGTGTTATATATAAAATATCAAGCCATTTGAAATGGCTGTTATTGATAGGTAGAGAGGCTTTTATGAGAGGAAGAAATGGTTTTTTTTCCCCTCAAAAGTTGAACAAGGGAAATTTTACTATTCCAGGAAACAAAGTCATTCCCCCCAACCCCAACCCCGATCAGTTAGGATTATTTTAGAACATCTGAAGTCAACTCTGGCTGAGGCAAAAATTCCAGCATTAACTGTAACGAAGGAAAATGGGAGGCTGTATGATAACTCACAGTAAGGTAGAAGAGCCAAAGAACCAGGCTTGAAGACAGACCTGCTCTGGAGACCCCAGAACCAATGAGAAGGGTCTTCTGGACAGCATGTGCAGGCTGATCTAGCCCTGCTGATTATAGTCCTAGCCTCACCCTTCTGAAGATTCAGACTCCCAGGAAAGATAGCATCAAGTTGGTTGAACTTGGGCCCACCCAGGGGAAAATTGCACACCTTGATAGACAGGTTCAAAAGTCCTGAATAATCAATCCATTTGCATGGAGTTTCTTATGGAAACAACAAAAAAAAACAACTACACAAAATGGGAGCAGGTAGTTTCCCATAGGGAAATAAGGGAAGCCAGGAGGACCAGAGGGGATGGGTGCCATGCAGGCTACACTATCAAATGCCCCCAGCAGGCCCCAACCTGTGACACTCGGCTTCCATAATAAAAGGCCCCTGAGCTTGGGGCGAGGGGAGGAGGAGATGCATGTGAATGGATAAGACCCGCCATAAGTTCACCTGTAACTTGTGACCTTTGGAACCTGCTTCTCAGCTTGAGATAAGTGCCAGTAGATTTGAAGGACAGCCACAATTCTCTTTTTGGGCATGCCACCTGGTTCTGCCATGTCTGCCAGGCATTTGGGGAATATGTTTTGGAAGCCTTAAAAAAGCGACCGTCCTTTGGCTCAGCAGTCATGCTAAAGAAATAGAGTGCAAAGATGTTTGTGCAACAAAGAAATCCTTTGGAGCACTGGTGATAACAATAAAGAATTAGAGACCATCTAAATATCCAATGGGGAGCTGGTTAAGCAAACTATGGAACAGCACACAGCACCTTCAAAAAGAACAAGGGAGATCTATATATATTTGCAGAAATGGCACCCACAGTATATTGTTCATTGAATTTTTTAAAAATTAGGCTATAGAACAATGTATATTATATAAATTTTTTATATAAATATCTGAGTATAAATATAAATTATTTGATTCCTCCAGCTATGTGATAGAAGAAAGTCTGCAGATGAATTTATTATCATCAAAATCTCAATCCGGATAGAGGGTGGATTATTGGGAGACATTGATGACCTTGTATTTTAAATATTTCTCTGTGGTTTGCAGTGTCTACTATGAGAAGATATTTCCCAATAATAGCTATTAAAAGGTAGCATTAAGTGACCACTTACTACATGTCAGACACTAAGGATGTTTTACATACATTAGCTCATTTAATGCTTGCAACACCCTGTGAGACAGCTACTCTTGACCTACTTTGTAGCTGAGGAAATTGAGGCTAGTAAGCTCAGAGGGCTCAATTTAGTCTAAGTTCTGTCTTACACCCAAAGCTCCACTGTTAAACACAAGAATATTCTACCTCCCTTAAGAGAAGAGCACTACAAAGAGTTCCATTTTAGAAAACAGAAATGCTTTGCTTTTTGTATCCCACAGAGTGAGGAGAGCTGCTTGCCATGGGTGTCAAACGATTCTTCAAATGCTTACCCTTTCATCTGGCAAGCAGGAGGGGAAAAGATGGGGTAAAAAATATTGGCCACTTTTTCAGGAATAGTTTAGCTAGGAATTATTTTTCCAAGGTATTATTACTCATTGATTTCCAAGCTGGCAAAAGCACAGGAGTGGTCTGCTTTGGAGCTTCCTCACCTTGTTGGACATTCAGACCCTTTTTCCACATCACGCAAGTGCTTTGCTCCCCCTCCCCCTTGAGGCTGTACTCCTGGTATCTGCTGACGGCAGTGATTTGTGATCTCACCCCATTCTCACACCCACCGGGCTCCTCTGCCACAGGCGGCACTGTTGCCCAGGGTCTGGATTGCTCTGCAGCCCTCTTTCTGTTTATGCCGCAACCGAAAGTCAGTCCGATACGAATTTAAGAGTGGCACATTGCTCCTTTCACCAAATCTCCAGATGTCCAAATTCCAGATGTCTAGCGTTTTCCTTTCTAGAAAATGTTTTGGTGGGAATTCAAATGCAAACATTTTATCACAGAGCCAGAATGTTTTAAAGAAGAAGATAGCAAAAGGAAATTCCTTTGGGGAAACTTGTGAATGTGTTGCTTTAATCTTGACGTTTCTCTCTGGGCATACAGTGCCTGTGGGGTATAGAACGGGGCCATAAATAATGTCTATCAGCTGCTGGTATTTTCCAAGTGACCCAGTTGCCAGGGAGAGGATGGCAGCAGATAAATACATGCACATTTCTTTGCAGAGCCTTTTCCTTTCCTCTTTTCTTCTCTATTCTCAGTTTGCATCTCAGATTCAGAGGATTGAATTCATCACATTCCCCTGTTCAGGGGCACGGTATCTTCACAGGTCCCTGGATGCCTTTGTTTATCCTTTCAGTTTGTTTCATTTCATTTATTCATTCATTTATTATTATTATTATTATTATTATTTTGGCCTACCAAAATGACTTTATTTTATTTTATTTCAGCATATTATGGGGGTACAAATGTTAAGGTTATGTATATTGCCCATTCATTTAATTCTTTTCCCTGCTCTTATGCCTTTCCTCCCCTTTAGGCCATCCTTCTAATGTACACTTTTAAAATCTGCTGTTGAAAAATGTGTTCTCCTTTATCCACCTGTGCTCTTCAGGTATATAAATGGGGTGTGTCTTGTTCACAGTTGCTCACTTTGTTCCCTCCTCGCTGTGTCAGGAGCCATGCATGGTTGCTCTGGGCATACTTCATGGTGTGCAACACTGTGTATGTGTTGTCATGGAGGTGTGCTTCTTCCCCTCAAGCCCCCGACTCCTCCTCATCACTGGCAACACCACAGCTGACATCCGTGTGCACGTCCTCTTGTGTGAGAATTTCTTTGGGAGAATTGGTGGTCAGAGGGTGTGCATACCAGCGCTACATGCAGATGTCTCCGTTCTTGCCAACTCCTGCCATTGTTCCACTTTCTATTAATAATTTTTTGCCAATCTGATAGGTGCAAAATGATAGCTCATTGTTGTTTTAATTTGTATTTCTCTGATAATTAATGAGTTTGAGCATCTATTCAAATGCCTATGAGTTTACTGGGTTTTCTCTTCTACTCATTGCCCAGTTCATGTCCCTGGCCCATTTTTTAAAAAATTTAAGTTATCATCATTTTCTTGTTGATTTGTAAAGTTCCTTCTATAGTCTAGATATTAATCCCTTGTGAGTTTTAGATATTTTAAATATATGTTCCACTTTTGTCATTTGTCTATTATAATCTGTATGTTCTTCCTCAATTCTACAGCCTTACTTTTTATATATTCAAATTCTGTTTTTTTTTTTTTTTTGGCCTTCTGGTTTATGATTTTCAAGTATTTTGCAGAAGTACTTTGTGTTTTGTATTTTGAAGAAGTACTTTCTGACCCATGTCACAAAGAGATGAACCTATGTGTTCTTTTATTGGCTTTATGAGTGTGTCGTGTTTAAGTTCCTAATCCAGCTGATACCTGCCATTGCATGTGATGTTTCATGAAGATCCAGTTTTATTTTTAAGCATGTGAAGGTCAGTTTTCTAACCAGCATCTGTTATTAACTATCCATTCTTTCCCACGTTGATTTGCAGTGCTAGCTTTCTTGAATATTGGGTTTGCATCTGTGAGTTCTGTCTGTGAGCCCTTTATTCTGTTTCTTTGGTCCATTTTACCATTTGTGCCAATACCTCTCCAGTTTTAATATGACTTTGAGGCAAGTCTTAATATCGGTTAGGTCTCCTCTCTTTACTTTTCTTTTTAAGGGTTGCCTTAGCCATTTGTAGCCCTTTATCCCTCTTTATAAATTCTGTAATAAGTTTAATAAGTTCCTCATGAAATAAAATTTTA